TGTCGGGGCTGCAGCCGTGTCCACGTAGGAAATCCTGATGGAGAGCTGCGGGGCTTGCGTGAAATCTTGAGTTCAAGGACGTTGATGTGTTTTCTTTCACTCCAGGCATCAAGGCAAGCATCAGGTATCCCTGGGCTGGCTCCGACTGATGAAAAGTGAGTGGTGTCCCTCTCCGTGTCAGTCCAGTTCAGCGTTGGTAGCAGGTGCTGTTCATGACCAGGTATCCTCCTTGTGCTCCTCAGGGATGGCAACCTGCCAGATATCATTGCCAGCAGCAGTCTGCACGAGTTCCTGGTGAACCTTCATGAGAAGTATGGCCCGTTGGTCTCTTTCTGGTTTGGAAGGCGTCTTGTTGTCAGCCTTGGCTCCATTGATCTCCTCAAACAACACATTAACCCCAACCGGCCCTGTAAGTGCCCTTTGCTTTGTCTCTGAGTCCATTTATTCCTTCTGGCCTTGCTGGGCATCCTGTGCCAAAGGAAGCTGGAGTTTCAGTCTAAGTAAGGAACAAAGTGAGGCTTAGTTTGCAGCTGACATGGGGGTTCAGGTGTGTCTTACTAAGGTCCTTCTTATTGGACTTGAATATCACCAACCAAGAGCTGCTGCTGTCCAGTGGCCTTTGAGAAATGAGTATGCTTGTGTCTTTTACCCCCTCCCTACAGGCAAATATTTGTGGAAAGCATCATGCCCACTGGTCGCTTGGAACAGCAAGGGGAAGATCTTGTAGCCATTTGGCATACGTTTTAAAAGCAGCTTGAAATACAGTTTAAGAGGGGGAAATTTGCTAAATTAAGTCTGAAAACAGCTGGGCTAGTTTGTGGTAGCACCCGTGGATGGTTCAGTGTGAAGGCTTGTAAAGTTCTTTAACTTTCTTTGGTGTATAGAATTCAGTGCTGAAAACCTTTAATGATTTTCCAGCCTTGGAAGTGGCCAGTGGTGCTGGTAGCTCAGTTGATCATCTGAGTCCCAGGAGCGTGTTTTAATGTATGGGTGTTTTGCCTCCTGAGGTGATCACAGTTTGGGTTGAACCTCTCATTTTTGCAGTTTTCATCTCACAGGGTTGAGTGAGGTGCTGTCACACCCCTCTGCCCTGCAGGCTGAATTTAGGCACAGGCAGATCTCTCAGCATGGCTGTGTGCTGGTGGGGAAGCTGCTTGTGTCACTGCACGGCCAACTCCAAAAGAAATGGTGACAATCTGAGGGAGGAGTGGGAGTTAACAGGGATCAGCGAGGTGCAGTGGAGAGCAGTGACACTCCAGAAGGTGGAAACTCACCCTGAGAGATCTGAATGTCCTCAGATGTGTTCTGGGGGAAGCTGAGCAGGCAGTTTCTCAGAGCTCAGGGCAGTGATGACGGGCCCCTCAGCAGACAAGTTGGGCTGAATTTGGGAATATACAAATACTGGAGAAAAACCAATGCAGTGCCTGGACTTAAGTGGGAGGAACAGTGACCCAGGCAGCTACAGAGCAGTTTGGTGTCCTGCTCTGCCAAGGGGCTAAACAAATTTTTTTAAGGATGGGATGAGGTAGCAAATGTGTGCCATGCTTCTTTGGTAACATGACTCCTTAACAAGGAAGGTGGTAGAACTGTCTTTCTGTTGGAGTTTCAGTTCAGAATTTGCTTGGACACCACTTGGGTCATCACTGAAGCTGGATTTAATGGGATACAAGGAATGAAAGAGAGAGAGAGGGGCTGGGTTGTGGAGGTGAAACACTCTCACCTGTGTTAGCAGCTGCCTGGGTGACCTCACACCAGGAGGAGTTAACACAGGGAGGCAGAGGGGGTACCTGTGGGGGGTGTGTCATGTGTGTGTGTCACAGGTATGGCCAAACTTCTTGGAGAGGGAAGGAGAGAGGTGCTGACAGTGCCTGTCTTGAGAGCCTTGAAGCTGGACTGATTGCAGTCATGTTTATTACCAGGTTCCAGTGCTAGGTGCTGTTTTTCCTCATGCTTAGAGCAGTGTTTGAAGCAGATATGTTTTCATGGCCTCTTGAACCTTGGTTAAGATTAATTTGCAAGGAGAATTCAAAGGAATTAAAACTTGAGTGGTGATTCCTGTGAAAGTGAGGAGGCAGTCCAGGCCTGCCAGGAGCAGAGGCCCACAGGGAAAACCCTGATGGGTCCACGTCACCTTTTGGGTTGGGACAAGGAACCTGAAGAGTGTTGAATGCTGGAGATGGAGCGATGGATCCTGGCCTCTGTGCAGCTTCAGAGGATGTTCAGTTCTGCTTAGCACCTGTCTTGGCTATCCAGAGTTAGATCTTTTCTCTGTATTTACTTCCAAGAGTGTTCAGGGCAGCACCCTGAGGTCCTTGGGGTGAGAAAGAAAATTTCCTTATAAGTGGAAAAAGCAGTTGAAATTTTTATATACTTCACTAAAAGGACTGAAAATGCAGCCCTGGAAATGTTTTCAAGACAAGGACCAAGGAAGAAGTCTGGGGAAGTGCTGGCAGGACAGAGCTCTGTCTCCAAGAGGCAGTTTGGAGTCACTAGCCATGGAGAAGTAGCTGTTTCCCAAATCCTGTAGGGCAGGGCCAGCCCTCAGCAAAGGACAGCCTGAGGTCACAGGGGGTGTCCTGGGAGTGCCAGTTTGCACTGGGGACAGAGAAGGAAAAACTGGAGCCTGTCACTGATCCAAGAGTTTTCTTTCCTATGCACCAGGAGAACTTTGCAGTCTCTGCTGGTGCTGGTGCTGGTGCTGAGCCTCTCCAAATGCCTCTGCTTGCCAGATTTGCTGTGTGGGCTCTACCACCAGTCTCATTCCTTTCTGGCTAGCCCAGGCTCTGCCAGGGCCAGTCTGCAGGGAACTGTGGTGGCAGAGCACCTTGGGGGAGGAGCTGTCAGCAGCAGCTAGAGTCACATCACAGCCTGCTCCACGTGGAGAGCCACAGGTACCACCTGCTGTGCCAAAAACACATCTCCACACTCCTTGCCATGAAAAGTGGGAAAAGGGGGTGAGGGGCAGAGCTTAAAAACATTGGAAGGGAAATTATGTGAGAGAAAAGCATTTAGGAGAGTTCACCCTCTTCATACCTCTGGCCTCGTGAGCTGCTTTTGTGTCATTAGGTAGGAAGTCACCTCCAGGTGGGAATTGTCTCTTTGCTCTGCTTGTCCAGGAGCAAAATGAGGCCCTGATACCTGCTGGGGATCCCAGATACCCCCCCAGCTGGTAGAGTCACACCTGGCTAGCCCAGCCCAGATCTTTTCTGATGCCTTGGAGGTTTCACTTTCCATCTGGGAGAAATAACAAACTGGGATAAACAGGGAAAACATCCCTCCTGAGAGCTCCCTGGTTGTTGCTTCCAAGTAGTGCCTTCAAGATTTTTTTCCAGTTCTGCAAAACACAAAAAAAAAGTGTGTGGAAAGGGAAAAGCACCTGCCAGGCTAGGGAAAAGCACCTGCCAGGCTAGGGAAAAGCACCTGCCAGGCTTTATTGTGCAGCTTTTCTTTGACTCTTGATGTACATTAGCAAATTCATTAAGGAGAGGCCCCTGGGGGTGAGATTCAGGGTTTAAGATGTAGCAGAAGTGAGCTGTGGATGTGGAAGAGGGAGATGTGGAAATGGAGATGTGGTTTCTGCAGTGTCTGGGTGGAGGGAAGATGGAGTGTAAAGTGATTAGAACACCTTCTGGAGCTTCGTGGGGTGCTGTTCTCTGTCAAGGGTTCTCTGCTGGAGGCAGAGAGCTGAAAGAAGTGCACAGAGAGAGGTCTGGGAAGAGCTCATCAGAAGGGGATTTGGGAAATGAGGTTTGCTGGGGCTGTGAGGCAGGGTGAGGAGTGCAGAGAGCTGCCTCTGGCTGAGTCTCTCATGGGAGCTGATCTGTCTGTGGTCAGGGCAGGAGGGGGACAGATCTCAGGGGGAATGTGCCAGAGGGGCTGCAGGCCAGGCCAGAGGAGGAGGGGACACTGTTGACACCAGCTCAGAGGCACAGGCAGCTGGGAACTGGAAAGCTGGGAATGAGCTTCCAAGGCTTTACTATGAAAGAACTACTTGGTAGAGCCAGCAGGAAGAGTCTGCAGGGGGAGATAACCACAGAGTGGTGCCCTGCCATGGAGAAGAGAACTGTGGAGGTCCCAGTCCACTGAAGAAGAGGTGCTTGGCACCCCAGAGGGACTGCTCCTGGGGTCAGTGAGGAGCCATTGATTGCCCACCACCCAGAAGCAGCAGTGCCCAGTTAAAGGAGTTGCTGTTTCCATCATCCCTGGGTGCTCTGACTGACTTTTAAATGCTCTTTCCTTTATCTGCTTTCAGTGGATCCCTTTGAGACCATGCTGAAGTCCCTCCTGAGGTACCAGTCCAGCCTGAGTGGGGATACAGGAGAGAGCCACATGAGGAGGAAGCTGTATGAAAATGGTGTGACCACGTCCTTGCAGAGTAACTTTGCCCTCATCCAGAAGGTGTGTAACTGCCTCTCTAGAGCAGAGGAGCCCTTGTGGCTCACAGGGGAAGGTAAAGGAGCTCCATGCAGTCAGTGCTGGAGCTGTAAGCATCTGAGACAGCAAACAGCCTCTGCCCTGTCGGGTGTGGGGTGGGTGTTTGGTTTCTCTGGTGGGCTGGGGGGAAGGGCTGAGCTTGGTGACCAAATGCAGTTAAAACATACTGGAGCATCTGGATTCTAGATTTATTTCCTAGGATGGGAGGGAGGAGCAAGGAACCAGCCACTGAGACCACAAGGAGGTGAAGAACTGTTCTGTTTGAGGCAGGCCAGCAGCCAGAATACAATCTGTTTTCCCAGTCTGGAGCCACTGGTGTTAAAGGTTTTAAGGTTTCTTTTGGGACAGAGGGAACAAGAGAGGACAAGGCTGCCTTGTTGGGGGAGAACCTTGGGAAGAGGCAGAAGATGTGAGGCTAAAATGTGACTGTGCAAGTTAAGAAGAGCAGGAAGCCCTGGGGAGAGTGTAGCTCTGTGCCACAGCTGTTGGGGTGGGCTCTGCCTGGGACGTCTCCAGGGTATATTACTGCCAACTAATGGTTCCTTCCCTCTCAAGCTGTCAGAAGAGCTGCTAGCCAAGTGGCTCTCCCTCCCTGAGGCACAGCACGTGCCCCTCTGCCAGCACATGCTGGGCTTTGCCATGAAGTCTGTCACACAGGCAGCCATGGGCAGCAGCTTTGAGGATGAGCGGGCGGTGATCGGGTTCCGCCGGCAGCACGACGCAGTAAGTGCCACTGGGAGCCCTGGGGGAGCCCTGGGGGAGACCTGGGGGAGCCCTGGGGGAATCCTGGGGGAGTCTGCCCCACCACAGCACAGGGCCTGTCTCTGGGGACACTGCAGCAGCAGCTGCTGCTGAGACTTGAACATTCATCTAACATTAAGCTGAAGAGCTTGAGGGCTCTGCCTCAGTTGTCCCAGTCAGTGAAGTTTCCAGAAGGATCCTACTGCTGATTCTGCTGTTGTTCGTTTTCTAGAGGGTCTGTGGGGATGAGGAACCCAGAACCAGTGGCACTGGAGAGGGATTTGGTACCTAAGTCAGTTAAACTCTACTGGGAATGCCAGTGGAACTTTTCAAAGGTCTTCTGAAGGCTCTGGGACATGGGAGAGAAGGAAAAATCTGAGGAGGTCCCAAGCTGCAGATTTAACATCTGGGGATGATAGGTGGGAAATAAACAGCTCCATGTCCTAGTCAAGACTCCCATGCCTTGTCCCCTGCAGCTGCAATAACAGTTGTTTCATTTTAACTCAAATTTCAGCTGTCATAGATGGAATGGATGATGATTGTCATAAGGAGGCCTGTGCCACACTCACAGGAAGTCCTCATTTTATTTGGTGTTCTAATTTCCCTGAACAGGGAAGAAGAGCAGAGTCCCAGCAGGCTCAGCCTGTGGTGAGTGATGTGCTTCTCTCTGTCCTTCTTTCAGATCTGGTCAGAGATTGGGAAAGGTTTCTTGGATGGCTCCCTTGACAAAAACATGACTAGGAAGAAGCTCTATGAAGATGGTAGGTTCCTTCCAACATCACAGCACACCTCCCACTGTGACTAATACCTGGAGTTAGCTGTTGTGTGGAAACAGTTTGCCCAGCTGTCTGGGCTTTTCTGCAGACTTGGTGGTTGTGCCAGAAGCTACCAGACATTTCCCCCTTACTCTCACATCACACCACTGGTTTAGAGTTAAGTGACAAGCCTGCCACTGCACAAGATGTTTATAGGACTAGAACTCTGGTTCCAGGTGTAGTTCCACCATCTGTCCAATCTGGAGAGTGACAGAGGATCCTGGGAAGTATCAGGGTGTGTTTGCTGAATTCCTGTTCTGTTTCCTAGCCCCCACTTTTGACCTCTTTTGGCAACTAGGTGGAGACAGGTGGAGCCTCTTGGGTTGGTCTGTGTGGTCATTCTTAGGGTGCACCATTTGGTGAATGTGCTGCTAGAGAGTCACAGGATAGAAAACACAAATACAGAGGTGCTGCTTTGATGGACAACTTCCATGTGATAGCTTCTGATGTGGTTTTTCAGTGTGACAAGATTTGTCTGTTATGGCAGTGCTTTTTTCTTAGGAATTTCACAGTAAGTTATTTTTTTGGTTGTCCTGTCTTTGTTGTTAATTGTTAAACCCTTTCAGGATTGACTGATAGATATTGTCCTGTCTTTGTTGTTAATTGTTAAAACCTTTCAGGATTGACTGATCTTAATTTCCCAAACTCCTAGATCCTAAACAGTTCCCAAACTCCACATGCTGAGGTTTGGTATTTTAAGTGCTGCTGGCCTTCCTGTGCAGAGAAGAGGGAGGAAGGGTAGTTCTGAGATGAAAGGGCTGCATTTGGCCTTGGTAAATTGAGTTTCAGATCCAGCTCTGTGTTTTGTGGCTAGTCTTGAGTAGGTCATTTAAACCAGACAGCCAGTAGTGCCTAGGTCCTGACTGCCCTCAGTTCCCACGAGAGCCACCAGGACTTAGGCACCCAGAATGGGTGGGCTCTGTGCCAGCCCCCTCCACACCTTCCCCACCTCCCTCTCTGTCTGTGCAGAGCCTCCTCTCACACTGTGCTTGTGGCAAAGGGGACACCACCAGTGGCTGGAGGTGCTGCAGCCCCTCAGTGACTGGAACTCTGCAGTCCACACAGCTGCTGTTATCTGCCTCAGGTGGATTTTGTGGGGGCTGGTTAAACACATTCTCTGATGGCTCAACATTCACTGTTACTTGACTTCCCCTGAGGTGATTTCAGCTCCCAGAGTACCTGTCAGGGTGGGTTTTATAGCCAGCCTGGTTTCTGTGGTTCCTCCACGTGCAGCTGCATTGGAGATGCCACCTTCCAAAGTGCCAGGAGTGTGTCACAGAGGCTGCTCCTGCAGGGGAGCCCAGCAGGGACAGCTGCTCTCAGAGTCCTGGGGAGGTGGATCTGCTGCTCTCAGGGTGACCAGTGTTAAAATACTCGTTTTGTTTTGCTTCCAAAGCTCTGCTGGAGCTGGAATCCACCTTGAGGAGGGTCACGAAGGAGCGCCGGGGCAGGTCATTCAGCAGGCAGGTCTTCATGGACACCTTGCTGCAGGGGAGCCTGAGTGACCAGCAGGTCTGTGGGGCTGCTACATCATGGCACTGGGGTGGAGTTTTGGCATCTTATGTCAGAGTCCTTACTGAAGCTGGGCTTCTGTTCTTTTCCCCACCCCTACAGTGTTGAATTGTGTCAGACTTTGGTGGCTCTGCCTGCCACTGCTCCATTGCTGCTTTTATAAATCAGAACTATGTTAGTATTAAGTGTGTCTCATGTGCCATTCCAGTGGAAGTTCTATAGAGAGTTTAATCTATATCTTCTAGATGTATTTCCTGCTCTCTGCATGAAGGAGATTTCATGTGCTTGGGTGAAGAACGTGCTACTTCTTTTTTATCTTTACAGTCTTACAAATTTAATTCTCTGAAGTGGATTTTATTTCCCAGGTTCTGGAAGATACAATGATTTTCTCCTTGGCAGGATGCATGATCACTGCTAACTGTAAGTACAGATTGGAGATGATTTTCCATCCTTATCTATAGTGTATGATGACATGAGGCTTGTTCCAGGCTAATAAAAAGCTACATGCCTCATTCTGAGCTACAGATGTATAGAAGAAGAAGCTGATTTTTACATCAGGCTCCCAACACAGCCTCACAGCCAGGGAATTGAAGCTAAGCTGTCTGACAACCTTCCCAGTCTTTTGGTGAACCTCAGAATTTCTTCCCGTTGCTTTTTGCTGCCATTCTAACCCCAAATGACTGATGCTGACTTTGATGAAGGAGCACCAAAAGATGTAAGCCACAAAGATCATGTTGTAAAACGAGTTCTGGCACGTGGGAAGGGAATTAGAGCAGAGTGCTGGAGTCTGACTGGCTGCTCTGGATTTCTGGGGGATAGGTGTGTTTCAGGTGTGGAAAAGTTTCAAAGGTGCTACTTTGGGATTTGTGCAAAGATTGTGAAAAAAAAAAAGAAACCAAACCAAGGAACTGGAGCTGTGTAAAATCTCTTGTGATAGAGGGAAGATTTTCAGGCCCTGTGTCTCAGCCAGGGGGCTGGGACTCCAAAGAAAACCCCCCAACTGCAGCTGGGTGTTAAAGAACATGGAGAGTAAAATTGGCAACTGTGCTAATGCTCTCACCAGAGAATATCCTCTCTGTGTACTCCTGGGAGACTAATTTTAAGGGGCTTGATTCCTCAGGGATTCCTGATAGTTTTCATGAATAGACAGGAGTAGTAGAAGAATTTCCTTGTAGCTTTAGGGAAACTGCATCATCTATAGACTTAGTTCTTATGCAAGGCTTCTTTTTCACTCTGCTGTTAAAGATATCTCTTGACTGCCTCACAAAATAGGTGCAGACAAGTGCTGGCCCACCTGCTGCAGAAAGCTCTGCTGTCCTTATTGCTGTCAGGAGCCCCAGGCATTGGTCATCTGGAGCCATCACCTGAGATGTGCTGAGAAGACCCCTAATTAGGGGACTCTTCTGATGTTTGGGACAAACCAGCCTTTCATTGGCATGGTTGGTCTAATAACCCTGGTTCCCCAGGGCTTGCTGGGCTGTGTGATCCCTTCCCCAGAGCTCTGAGGCTGAACAGCTCGGTGTCCTGCACAGCTCACCAAGCTCCTCATAGCCCTGGAAGAACTTTAGCTTGCAGGGTCTTTTGTTACACAGAAGTTCAGCCTCCACTCCTGCCCCTGAATACAGAACCAGTACAGGCTGCTGTGAGCAGAGCTCACCCTTCTCTGGGTCAAAAAGTGATCTTGCAAACACAGGAAGGAAGAGCACTGAATGCAGTTTGTAAGGGACTGGATTTTCAGTCTTAATTTGATTTCTTCCCCAGTGTGTACCTGGGCAGTCTACTTCCTGACAACCTCTGAAGATGTTCAGGAGAATCTCTACAAGGAGCTGGACCGTGTCCTGGGGAAGGGGCCAATTACACAGGAGAAGATTGAGCAGCTCAGGTGGGTCCCACAGAAGGAACTGCAAAGGAAGGTTACCTCGTATGGTGGAGAGAGGTTTCATGGGCTGGAGCCTGATGCCCAGCCTACACTGGGGCAGGAGAAGGCATCCAAAAGCTTCCTTCCTTTTTCTGGAAATGATCAAACCACGGGGTGACTTGCAGCACAGAGAGAATCTGCTGTAGGGCTGCAGACATGGGCACCAAGCTGCTCTTTTCAAGGGCCCACAGAGCTGGGATGGTGACTGGTCAACACTGTGCCTTTATTTTTCATGCCTCTTGGTGCAACTGGGTGCACTTTGTATCTGGGCAAGTGTGAGGTTTTCAGTAAGGGAGTATTGAGTATGTGGGCTTCCTGCTGCTCCTTGTGTGGCTGAGAGGTCCAGGAAAAGTCCTGCAGAGTTACTTTGGTTTAAAATCTAAAAAAAGAAAAAGTGTGGC